ACAAGTTTAAAAGAACGTGATTTTTCAAGAAGAAGAAAAACGATATGATATTGATGAACTTTTGCGCGGAAATCAAGAATTATCACCACATGAAATATAAAAAAATGTTTACGAATAACTTAAAACAAAAGGAAAATTTTCAATTTCCCAAAACATTAAAACATGGTTGCAAACGCGTTTTTAAGGTGAATATTTACAAATTGGATTTGTCTACAGCAAATGTGAAGACGTAGTCTACTGCACTTTATTTCTAAAGCAGGATAAAAAAAATCTTTGGGAGCTTTTGTTAACCGTAGATATGAGGAACGGCATAATGCTTTAGAGAAACAAAAACTACATATAGGCAATAGGTACCATAAAGAAGCTATCGAACAAGCTAATTGCTTTTCTTGTCGTTTTGAAGATCCAAGACAAACCATTTTATTACAAAGCGATAACACTTTAAAAAACCGAAAACAAATGTATCCGTTTATTATTGAAACATTAGGTAGAATAGTGTATTTAATGGGGTAAAAAAATTTTGCATTTCGAGGAACTTATGAAAAGTGTATGGAAAACTCAGACCAAAAAGGTAATGCTGCAAACTTTCTTGCAATTGTGCAAGAAATAGCTCGCCATAACGCTGAACTTAATGCACATATACAAACACAATTACGCAAAGATGTCAGTTACCTCGGCCCCAAAGAGTCAAAATGAATTAATTGATATAATTGTATTATAATATAAATAAAATAAAATAACTCAAAGCTGCAAATTACTATTCAATTTCAGCAGACGAGGTGACAACTGCAAACCAACAACTTCTATCAGTATGTATGAGATACGTAAACGGAGAAAAAGAAATAAGAGAAATATTTCTTGACTTTTTGAATCTTGATAGGATAACAGACAAACATTGGGGAAAGCTTGATGAAATTTTATAGCGAAAGTGGAACTAATCTTAGTTCTTGTAGAGGCCAGTGCTACAATGGCACACCAAACATGCAATCTGTAAAAAAAGGTGTTGCCAGCTATTTTTAAAAAGATCAACAAAAGCAATTGTAACACATTGTAGCGAACATAGTTTGAATTTATCAATTGCTGCAACATTAAAAATTCTAATCATTGATAACACTTTGGATGTATACAGAAATATATCCATTTATTTCAATACCTCTCTGAAAAGAAAGCGCTTGGTGGAGCATGTTGCAGAGATCTGTTTTGAATCACCTGAAAAAAAAAGGTTTTGATAAGGATGTGCAAAACAAAATGTTCAGAAAGAGATGCCGCATACGAACACTTTTATTTAGCTATACCAATTATGGCAGAGGCATTAGAGATTATTTTAGGAATATACTCTAATGTATTTTAGGAACCTCTCACTCAATTTGTATATAGGGATACACAATATTGAATAGTTCAATATAGAGTTTAGTATGGATTGGGACACACAAGGAAAAAAAGAGGCCAACTCACTCCTCAATGCACTCAAGAAGTTCAAATTTATAATTGGTATTATAACTTTGTACTGCATACTTCACCCGTTGTCGTATATAACAGAGAGGTTACAAGGGTGGACAACTGATATTGTGAGTGCAAACAGTAACATTCAAGAAACAATCAGCAATTTAAACCATCTACGGAAAAATGTTAAAAAAGAAACTTATGCAATTTACCAACAAGCTACTCGCATGGCAAGTAAATAATTTGTAGAACCAACGCTTCCCAAAATCACTATGAGACAGGCTATCAAAAATAACGTATCTACAGAGAGTCTCTGTGAATATTATAGACGGGCCTTGATTATATCTTTTATCGACACCATCATTTCAGAAATCAAAATACAACTTTAAAAAACAAATTGTATTGCTGCTAAGGTTTTATACTTGATTCTGTCGATAATATGCAGTAAGGAGATAACTGCTTTCCAGGAGTTAGTTGAAATGCATAAAAGTGATGTTCCAATCTCAGAAGATGTAGATCAAGAATTCATGTTTTGGAAAAGAAAATGGTCTGCTATTAAACCTGAAGATAGGCATAAAACTCTAGCTAAAGCCATTAAAACCTGCAATGAAAATCAATAACCTAATCTTTTTGAGCTTTTAAAGATAGGCTGCACACTACCCGTAACGTCCGCAGAATGTGAACGCAGCTTTTCAGGAATGCAAAGATTAAGATCATGGTTAAGAGCCGGTATGACTGCAGATAGACTTTTTTCATTATCCATCATTAATATCCATTACAATGAAATTGTTGATTATAAACAAGTCGTTTTACTTTACATCCTAGAAAATTGTATGAAAAATGTTTAGTTTTTGAATTAAAATTTAAACCATTTATCAGAGTATTATTAATCTTTGTATTGATACCCATTTTCTAATAAGGAGTTGCTTTTACGCCTATGCAGTATAAAAAAAGAACAAATATTCGGACAACAATAAATTTGTTTATGCAAACATTGTTTACACAAATTTAGCTATGTTTCACGAAATTTTATTAAGAAAATTTAGTGAAATATTTGTTTAGTGTTTTAAAACTGCCTTTCTTTTCAAAAACGACCCCCTCCCTCCCCTAAAAAATTTAACGGTACGGCCCTGGCAACGATTATTTTTACATTTAAATAACCCAACTTCTTTATTGGTCAATTGAGTTTTTTGCAGAAGTAAGTATTTTAAGTTGATTGGCTGGTTGTTTAATTGCCAATACTGGCACATAATATATAATGGATATAAGAAAAACTTTTTTTACTCTTTTATTTGAAGATAGGTTAAACCAATAATTGGTTTTAGTAAAAAAATGTTTGTC